TCTCACGGGTAACGCCTGCCAACGCAGGCCGAAAATGAGCCTGGTGCTCTTCCCTGCCACTCAACACTTTGCACGCCGCTCACGACTCGCGCAGATGCGAAAGATGGCTCTCCACGGCAAGGGGATCACCACCGCCGTCATTTGTAGGTCGTACGTGTCACCTGCCCGTCCTCCAGCCCGCCTCCCTGCGTCCGCGAAAATTCGAATTCAAATTTTTGAATATCTTCCTCTGCGCGCATCTCACCTCCCCGTCCTCAAGCGACTAGGGCCCACCGCCGTCTGTACCACGGACACCAGGCTGCAATGGGCAGACATCGATGGCGCGGCGCCATATACGTATATGAGAACTGGCCGCGGGAGACCCGTTAGGACGGTTCCTAAAAGAATTTTTTAAGGATTGCATGCAACGCCGCCACAGCAAATCCTAAAATTCTTTTAGGACTCATCCTAAAGAATTTAGGAATCCTTTAGGAGTGTCTAACGAGACCCTTCGTGGTATAAGAAGTGTGTCCATGAAAAGGAACAAGTCAAATAAGAGGGTATTGAAATTGCAGAACTTGTGGTCCAATTTATTCAAACGGAAGTTAGAGCTCAATGGTCGTATATTAAAGTCAAATTATGCAGTTTTCACCAAAAAAGGGACATTAAACAAGCAATTAATATTATTGTTATTATTTATTTATTTATTTATTTATTTATCAATTTATTTATTTATTTATTTATTTATTTATTTATTTATTTATTTATTTAAGAACACTCACAGCCAAATGTCGTATGAACCAGGCACTCCGGCCTGGTTCATACGACGGCCGCTTTGAATTACACAAGCCGGAAAACGGGTCCGGCATCCCTCATATCATAGAAAAGGCTCAACAAAATGAACATAAGGAAAAGAGTATGCCAAAACCCTAAGTATGCAACGCTAGTAACGAAATCATCCATCCTCTGTTAAACACCAAACCCTGTGTGTCCACCCTACCTCCTGAGCAGCAGGGGTCTGGGTCGTCGCCCCCCCAACCGCAGACTCAGATCCCGTAAAAAACCACCCACCTCCTTGCGATTTAGAGCCGATTGCACCACCACCGACATTTACCTACCAAAACCACCAACTCCGACCATGATGGCAATTTTGCTAACCTGCAGAAATACCCTACCACCCGCGCGGCAGGGGCCAAAGGCCCCGCAGAACTCACCCACCTCCTCGCGATTTAAGGTACAGCACTCCTCTCATTTGTGTTCGCCTCGCACCATGACAAGGTCTGTGCGGGGCAGCACTCCCAAATCGTCTCGAGTAACCATAAAAAGGCACCATATCAGCCCCGCGAGGGGTTGACCGGTAACAACACAGAGAGGGCCTGATTGGTGGATTGAGGGTTTGTTCGTACGACGGATATGGCATCCTCTTCCTCTGAGGTTCGCGAGGAGGCGGACCGCAGAGCGGACGACCTATGTGGCATGCTCCATAATTGCTTTCTTACTAGCGAGGAAAACGAACAAACGGTGGCGCGATATATTCATACATATCGGGATGCTCAAGAGGATATGGTCGTCGTGGATTTGGACCCCCGGGCGACAGACGCTACAGTTGGATATCTGCGGTAGCATGGAGTGCTTGTGGTCTTCCAGGGAGCTGGTGCGGACGCGACGTTCATTGAGAAGGAGGATTGGTTGAGAGCGATGGAGACGGGTTGGGACTTGGCCACAGCCCATGGGCATCATGGCAGGATCAAACCAGAAGGGGCGAATATGGTCTCCTACCTGGCACCGAACCATGTGCTTTGAGACTGGCTGCTTAACACACTCAAGAAATGTGATAATGTTGTGGTGGGCGGTAAACCATGCAAGGTTCAGTTCAGGCCTTGGGCCACCCCGGCCGAGCAAGCGGCGATTCGGCAGCAAACACAAGATAATTTTTTTTGGATCAGAGTGTTGCGAGTGCCTTCTTTGGCAATGCCCTATCTTAAGGCGGCGGTGGCCAAAGAATTTGGTCAAGTGTTGAAAGACTTTCCCCCGGAGAAGAACAAAGCGGTGCCTCGATTGGTGAATCGGCATTATGACCTGCATCCATCGGCGAAACCCAAAATATCCAAATCGTTGAAGTTCCGATCACCGCACGGATGGCACAAAGTGGATGTCGTGACACAAGACACTCCATGGTGCCACGACTGCAGATGGTACGACCATGACAGTGGAGCGTCGGACTGTCCTAAAGCGTGTAGACCACAAGGACGGACATATGCGGAGGCTGCGGGTGGTTCTTCTGCTCCTGGGGGAGGAGGCATGCCGCCGGGGGGGCCTCTGCCCGTGGGGAGTGATCCGCCTCCGCCGGGAGGCGGACACCCCCCGCCTGGGCCTGCACCTTCGCCTTTACCTGTTGGTGTGCCTCAGCCTGCCGCCGGTGGTGGGCATCCTCCGCCTGTTTCGCCATTACCTGCTGCTTTGCCAATGCCTCTTGGAATGCCTTTACCTAATGCCGGGGGTGGACAGCTTCCGCCTGCCTTGTCTCACTCGACAGGGACTGCTGCTCCCTCTCCCTTGCCTGTTGCGCCACTGCCCCCCCCGGCCCCGGTGACGACTGTCGAAGGAGGGGCTGAACTGCACTTATTCCAACTTCGACAGCTGGCACAAGGAACAACAATACCAGCAGGAGGGTTGGGAGGGCTTACGGAGCAACACCAACTCGGAGAAGAAGATGGTTATAAGGAGGCGCCTCCCCTGACGAAGGAGATAACGGGAGAGGAAGAGTTTATGCCTCAACAGAAAGATCAGTTTCAATCACAGCGGAGGAAAGCAACTACAGGAGGACCGAGGCTGCAGCAACCTGGCCCCTACGATAGACCTTCTCCGGATAGTCTTATTTCATCAGACGCATCTCCAGCAAAATCAGTTCCTTGGGCAGAACTGGCTGACGCAGCTACGCAGTCGGTAGGATTGCAGAGGGCCGCTCCCCTGTTGCAACAGCCGACGATGCTTCAACAAAAACCGCGCCACCACCACCAACAACCATCAACAGAGATCAGACAGCCGCTTCGAGCACGGGTCTTTCCTGGCCCGATCACTGATGCAATAGCGGCATGACAACCAAGGGTAGTCGTGCTGCTGGTGTTCACTGCGGTTGAAGGGCTTCTGCAGTTGCTGACAGCAGTTTCAGTGGAGGGCCCTTTGGCGATTCCTCACCTTGAGTTGTATGAAGATCCGTCCCCGCAAGTGGTGCTACGAGAGGTGGGTAAGTGGATTTCTCCGGTCTTCAAGATCAGACTTTTTCCAAAAATGGAATGGCCCAGACTGACACCAACTAATGATCATGGAAGAACTGACATTATGATTTTCCCGATCATAGACGCAGTGGTCAACCCGGCCGCCACAACACCACCGACTCTTTCGGGCCTTCGCTGGTTGTCTTGGCCGTTGATGCAGAATCCGCAAGGACAGACTGCCACGGAAACACGGATTTCAGATTGTTGGAATGAGAGCTTGCTTACTCTTGTTGAGTCGGTTATTCCCTGGCACAAAAGTTTGTTTTCGAATAACTTCTTACACCTTAAATGCATGGAATGGGATGATGCCAATGTGTAAATGGACAAGATAAGATTGGCAACATGGAACGTGCGAGGGTTGGGATCCCGTAGGGTAGCAGTAAAAAGATCCTTGATTAAAACATTGATGAGGAACAAAGGAATACAGATTTTGTTGTTGCAAGAAACTAAACTGGATGCGGAAGCCATACTAGAGCAGTTGGGATGGTGGTCTGGCCCACAGTTCTAGGCCTTGGCGGTGGGCTCGAGAGGGGGAGTTGCGATTTTGTTTTCTCGTAACTTCCCTTTTCCACAAACTACTATATGGACTTCGCGGGGAAATGGGTTTGGGTGAGATTCAAGGTAGGGCACGATGATTGGGTTGTCTTCAATGCGTATGTGCCATCTAGGCAACAGCCAAGATTGGACCTTTTCAAATCTATCCCATGGCTATTACCGGCGATGGATAGATTGATTTTAGGGGGTGATTGGAATACCACCCTTGTGCCTGGTATGGATTCACCCAGAGTTGCCCCTTTGTCCTCAGACGCTATCTTGCTTTCCACTGTTGTTGCAGAGCAACGATTGGTTGATGCATTCCGACATCTACATCCCTGTCTTAGAGCTTACACCTATTTTGCCTCTGCGACTGCCCACCAGCAATATCTTCCTCGTAGTAGAATAGACCTGTTTTTTCTGTCATATTTGTTTCAACCCTTGTTAGCCAAATGTAGTATAGTCCCATTAACTGACATTTCGTTAAAATTGACATTTTTTACTATTTTCGCGAAATTGAACTTTCACAATTTCGCCTATGTTTTTGTGTGGAAATGAGTGACTTCTTTCTTTGTAGTGATGGCTACCATCACATGGTCTTAGTATACCCTTTCCCATAAGATGTCTATCATCTATCATTGACCATACACCACAAGTATGATATGGTATATCCTCTACCCTAAGAGTCCATCATACAACATGCATCATCATAATGTTAAAATACACCCCAAAGGTTACCATGGCATGGCCCGGCATGCACCGTAAGGGTGCATTATCCGGCACACATCATCGGACTCTAAAATACAGCCCAAAGGTCACCATGGCATGACCCTGCATGCACCGTAAGGGTGCATCATCCGGCACACATCGGACTCTCATCCTTCGTATCACAAGTATATGACACGACTTTGATCGTCAGGTCTGCCGTTATTTGAGTATTTGTCTTTATGATATCGTGTTATTGCCACACTTATCCCCATGAACGTTGTAACCTCTACCGAGATAAAACATTCATACCATATGCACCCAATGTCATTCGTGGAATTACTCAAAGAGTTTCGACCTCATTTCACATTTCTTCGCTGTTTATTCGTCAACAGAGGCAACAGGAGATATCCATTGTATTGCAGAAATACGTCGCAAATGTGACCTTCCCATGCAAAGCACTACAGCGTTATCAGTTACGTACAAATGTGACCTTCCCATGCAAAACACTATAGCGTTATCAGTAATGTACAACACGAAAAAAACAAAAAGATTACAAAGAAGTTCACCGGATATACTACAAGTTACGAAGCTATCAAGTCTATGGCGATCCTTCGTCTAATGCCCTGGATGTCCTTCATTGAGAAATGGAATGGTGACACCTTGCCTCTAGCCAGAAGAGATGCATAAGTGAGCATAAACACTCCGCACTGATATGCGTCCTCTTGTTTCGGAATGTCGTCCACGAGACAATTATGTTCGAAGCATGATATGTCTACAGGTCTTCCTTGCTGAGTCGAGCGCTGTACTATAAAGCTTGCGAAGTGCCCTGTCAACTCTTTAGCAAACTCGATGTTCGTGTCCATCGAATCGTAATACTCTATGACATGTCGTCGACGGTCGGCTACCAAAAGGGTCCAGTGTTTCCGTTTTATATCGTGATACGGAGCTAGAATCAACTCCGTGTCTGCTATTATTACATCTCGAAACCACCTAGCAACTCTCTCGTAGCTATATTCCATGTTTTTCCCTAACAACTTAGCGAAAAAGTATGAGCTATACGCAGCGGTGACAGGGACCGTGCTTGCTCCACATGCATTTGACTTGTCAAAGGAAGTATCACATTCGCGATGAAACTTTATGCAATTGTTGTCATGCAGAATGAGTTTCATGTAGAAATTCACAATGTTGTCGTTCAACCACTCGTTCTCATGCATGAGGACGCTGAAGTCATGCACTATGAATAACAGCCGCTCCCCCGTGGCTTCATTCGTCGTGGTTGCTAAGGTTTTCATATTATTCAGCTCTATGCTCATGTGACGTAATGCTTCTTCCTCAGTCTCATACACAACGTCCATTGCTAAGTGAATAGTCCAGCCATGTACACAGTTGTGTTCGCCTCCATAGCACTGGTTAACTGCATCACCGAGCAACAATTTGAATTGTGTGTTGTTCATGTCTGCTTGTGGCACATCCACTAACATGTACATGTTCAAACCGTGCTTGTCAATCACTCCCTCATTCACTGTCGCCCGGTACCTCGTGTGTGTGTGTGCGTGCGCATGTGCGGGCGTGGGCGCGCGAGCGCGCGCGCGCGCGCGTGAGAGAGAGAGAGAGAGAGAGAGAGAGAGAGTAATGCGAACTTAAGTCATTCCCCATCCTCAACACTTCCAATGAAAGTGAATGAAATTTTAATCACTTTTCGACATTTGACTCTGATTGACGTGATCCCATCGCATCAATGAACTGCAAGTACTCTGTTTATCACTTACTATGAAAACTGGTCTACAAGTTCTACCAGCATCCTTTGCCACACACACGCACCCACATATTTCGCTTTGCTGGATAACATGACAATACCATATGGCATATGCTCCTTGGGCGCCCACCCATTAACTGCTTCTCCAAATGTCTCCCCGAACAGACTAAACGTTCGGTGCTCCACCGTCCACGGTCTCCGAGAAGGCATACCACCTGACACCATGCTTCAGCATGTCATGGCATGCTCCGCCGTGACAAGGGCGTCGAGCCATGCGTTCACGTGGGGAGGCGTGACGGGGATGCCGAACTGCATGATTGGATGGTCCAGCATCCCCGAACCGCCGGATGATACGATGCAATGGTCCGGCGTCCCCGGGCCGCCAGATATTACACACACACACACACACACACTCACACACACACACACACACACACACACACATACACACACATACACACACACACAACACACATAGCACGAGGATCAAAACATGCGTCAAACCACAAGAATTTGTCCTACATCCGCCGTGACAGGGGCGTCGAGCCATGCGTTCACGTGGGGAGGCGTGACGGGGATGCCGAACGGCATGATTGGATGGTCCGGCATCCCCGAGCCGCCGGATGATACGATGGAGTGGTCCGGCGTCCCCGGGCCGCCGGATATCACACACACACACACACACACACACACACACACACACACACACACACACACACACACACACAAACATGCGTCAAACCACAAGAATTTGTCCTACA